CTTACCATCATGGAGTCAGAAATAAAGAAATACCACAGTTTATCCCGTTGATATTACACCACTACACACATAAAAAAATGCTCGGATGGAATATTACACCGTGATGACTGCGATCTGGCTCACACTGAAATAAACATCCACATTACTTCGTAGTGGAGTTCCTGCCTACAGGTTTACAATTGAATCTTTATCTCCGCTCCTTCAAAATGTCCAGAATTTAGATGTAGGGCTTGAATTTAAACTTTACTTTAGATGTTTGAACGTAAAATACCCAAAACGTTGACAAAACTTTGCAAACTTGACAAATGCTTTCCGCCTACGGAAGTCCGTCATGTTTTTTTGTTTTTTTTTCTTTTCTTTTTTTTTTCCACAAAAACCAGTACTTAGTCTCGCTCGACCAAATTTCTTCAACCGGCTCGATCGTAGAAACTCGGTTCCAGGCCTCGCTACCATCCTCCCCAGTTTCACACAATAAAATTATTTATTGTTTGATCGTTGCTTGTCATAGAAAACAGTTTTCGTGGTTTGTATATTCTGAAAAGTAAAACCAACACAGCTGAACTAGCCAGAAAGGAGATTTGCGACCGAAACCGAAGATATCAACAAAAAGCAACTTCATGCTACAGTAGCCACCAAATATCTTGTGTAAACAAATTGACAGTACTCTTGTAAACAAACAAAAAGCTGCTAGAGTCTACCTCCAATTTAGTTAATTTTTTTAGATCAGACAGAAACCAAGTCTCGTCTTAATTCAGCTTATAATATTCAAGACGGAATTCACCAAAAGTTCGAGTAACAAGTGAACAAAAACTTTGTACCAAGATTAGTAACATCGTATTGCAAACTTCACTACGACTGTTTTAAATGTCCTCTCAAAAAAAAAATCATTTCTAGCAACACCAAACGTCGAAAACAGATGTTGAACTTCGCATGAATCACTTGAAAGTACCGGTAAAATGAAACTAATGATGAAATTTAACCTGTGTTTCACAATTTGTCTGAACTTTGAAATTCGTTTTCTCGTTCCCAAGAAAAATTGTTTTCGGTGTTATTTTAGGCAACTATTTATATCTTAAGCTTTAAGAAAATTTAAAGAAGACTGTAAAATACGTAAAATTATTCTGGTGCCAGATTTTTCTTCACTAAGAACTGAAACTGCTCGATTTTCTATTGGATTTCGTGTTAAATTTCTAATGTACTTTTCGCCATGCGATCAATTGTTTCTTGGTGGTCAGCTTAGTTTTAACTTAAAAAATGGCAGCTGCAGAACTCGAAAATAAGCAAACTTCAAACAAGGGTTACCACAAAACTAAAAGGTTTCCAAAAAAAATGCAATTATACCTGTAAACGTCTATTCTTAAAGTGTGTCTACAATATAGTTATTGGGTTTTTCTTCGCGTACCGACAAGCGTTTTTGACTGTTGTTTTAGGATGCCACGAAGCTATTAAAAAAAAAGCTGCAAGGTGTCTTCAAAAAAAATTCATAAAATAGTTGAATAGAGAATATATGCTTTTCATGCCGTCAATGAATTGGTCAAGGCCCTAACTATAATGTTATGGCAAAGGAAAATTCACAAATAATTTTCGACTTACGCTGACATGAACTTCGATCCTTCAAATATACAAATCTTTCTAGATCCAGACTCAACAGTTCTAAATTTATTTACTTACTCCAAAGAAAAGACGAATATCAGAACAAATTAACCTTGTTTTGTTTACTTTGGCACAAGGGTCTATCAATATAGAAATTATCAGCGAAATCGATTTTTTGGCTTTGTCCGCGATTTTGATGATCATAACTGGTTTTACCGACAATGACTGTCAAATTACTAAATTTACAGTCCGACAAGATGCATTTAGGATAATTGTTTTCATTGAGCTCGGGCTCTAACCTTCAACGTTCTGTGTTTCTCACTGACTCGTCTTGATGGACAATTTCATGCACACCAAACAATAACAGAAACACGCAAATTTAACGACGGTTTTTATCATTCTTCGAACAAAGCTGAAAAACAATCCAGCCAGCTGTTGCTATATCATTTGACGCAGCAGTGACATTTTAGGACACTCTCTGCTTCCAGTTTCATTGACGCTAAGATGCGAAATGAAAAGCAATTTGTGGCGCAAGCTGATAGGCCACTCCAATTTGCTGAGCTGCTCATGAAACAGAAACCGTCACTATTAGTGCAAATAAGAGGCGGACAGCTGAAACCAAGATCTGTCGTGCAAATTTCTGAATCAGTCATTCTTTTCGCGCGAAAGACGGTATCAGGCCGAAAAGTTATCCCCCCTTCGCCAGAACATACTAATAGAGTGCTGTTACTAAGTGAACAAATCAGCTAGAATGAACTGAACGGCAATGTCGGACAACGTGAATACAACGATGAATGCAACGCAGTCATCGAGCTGCCCCAGCAATTCTACAGTAGAAAAAATTGGCACGATCTTTGCTTACTGTCTGATTTTTCTTGTTTCGCTGGCTGGGAACACCGTCATCGGAATAATTGTCTTCAAGACGCAGACTATGAGAAAACCCATCAACTTTTTCATTGTAAACATGGCCATGTCCGATATCATGTTACCGATATTCAAGATTCCTCAGCTTATACAAATACTGTATATAGACTCCTGGATGATCGATGGTCCTCTTGGCGAGGCCTTATGTAAACTGGTTTACTTCTTGATAGGTGTTTCCCTTCTTGTGTCTATTCAAAGCCTGGTTCTGATAGCAGTGGATCGATTTGGTGCTGTGGTATTTCCTCTCCGTTCCCCACTCATCTCTTCAAAGTTGTGCCCGTTCTTCATTATCGCCTCTTGGATCGTCGCGTTAGCTGTTAACTCCCCAAAGCTCTTAATATTCAAACTTGTTAAATATCCAGAAAAACTAGTTTGTAAGCGGCGTTGGAATGAAGTCTTTGGAGAGTCCTCATCTCAGAAAAATTACCTCTTGTCTTTTACAGTTGTATTTATGTTTATCCCGTTGGTGTTGATTGCCATACTTTACATTATCATCTATCTAAAGCTCAAGTCACAGAAGATTCCAGGCGAGCAATCAGCCAACGCTGGACAACAACGCCAGCGAAGGGAGCGAAATGTGTTAAAGATGGCCATTGCTATAGTGTTAGGGTTTGCAATGTGCTGGCTTCCCCTCGCTATCTGGCTTATTCTCCTCATGTTTACGGACARCATCATATGGTCGAATTGTGCCTTCCGATATCTTTTTTATMTTGTCAATTTCATGGCTCTGGTAAARTGTGCRYTAAATCCTTGTATCTGTTTTATTTTCAGCAGAAATTATCGTAAAAAACTTAAGGCTCTCGTTAGATAAATTGTTTTGACTTCCGCCGTAGCTGAAGATACTTATGTACAGTGGAGAGGTTCAGTCAACCTAAAACTCGTAAAAACCTTAATTCAAAACTGCCTTTTTTATTCAATATAAACTATTGGCTTAAAGAAACTTTGCAGATTAAGAAATGGTAGGCGTGCACCTTGCAACTATCGAGTTAGGAATGCACGCGGGAGGTTGCTAAGCACGAAAGAAGCGTAAGAGTTGCAAGAGGCGATAACCGAGTGCGACTCTACCCTCTTGAGTGCTTAGCAAACCTCCCATGTGCATCCATAACTCGATAGTTGCACACTGCATGTTTACCATTTCTTTTATAACATTGAGACTTTTGAGATTTATTTTGAGATTTCCCTTGAATCTCGTCCGGCTTACATGAAGTCAAAAGCTCGTTTTACGATAACTGCAGAATTTCTCGCGAGCTTATTGGCGAAGTTTTATTGTTAATAAGTGGACAGACACATGAATTTATGATTTATGTGATGTGTCTACGAGTGAGAGGGAATTGTCATCGTAAAAAACAAATTGAAGTCAGTTTTTAATGCGTCTGTCCTGTTATTGACAATGAATTTCGTCAGAACATTGTCAAGGTAGTCTGCGGATCCACAGCTACTTTGACAATGTTCTGACGAAATTCGTGATCAATGACAGGACAGACGCAAGAAAAACTGACGTCAATTTGTTAAATAAACCGTGCGAAAATGTTCATTAACAAATCTGACAGAGCGACACATCAAAATTTTCTTGGATTGCGGGGACTTACTAGTTTCTCGGGCAAACAAATAATTTCAAACTGCTCAGTTAACCTAAATATCAAGCTGACAACAAACGAAAATTGCAGTCGGTAAAAGCGTTTCTCAAAAATTTGGATCAGTTTTCCGAAGAATTGAAAACAAGCTGCAAATAGTTAAAGCTTTTCAGCTCTCTGTCCTTCACGGCCTCCTCGGCAAAAGAAAAGAACTAAATGGAACCAGACATTTCTTAAAAGCGAGTGGAGAAGAAAACGAATTAACACCCCTGGCTTTGAGCTGTTTGAGATGCTCTCATTCAATACCAGGTTTGTGGGTTACGTTTTCCTTTCCACTTCGTTTTAAAAATTTGATGAGTTGCGCGTCAAAGGCTGAAGTTGAACACATGAATGGCTTTTAAAAATGATCTCTGTCACTTTCGTTATTTGGTAAGACTGAGGTCTTGAGAAAAATGTCGGAAATGTAAGCTTATATTTGTGCACGATGAAGTCTTTCCTTCGAGCGGTTGTTTCTTTAAGATTTCAATCCACGATCGAGCGACGAGCTTTTGAGCAAAATTAAAACCCGGGAACTGAAATAATTCATCAGAGGCTACCAATATTTGATAAAACTTCCTTTGTTAAACTTCAGAAAAAAATATTATCTTTATAGCGTTTTAGGAACAGAAGGATTTCGTAATTAAGACTTCACAAACAGAAATTTGTTAAAGCTCTTTCATGTTCAAGATTTGTTCGCCGAAAATATTTAAAATTGTAAATGTCTTTCGATGCCAGGAAAGTTTTATAATGAAAGCTTTTGCTGAAGTCCATTGTCGTCAAATAGCTAGAAAATTCTCTCTAAAATTCCTGCAATGCATTACTGACCTCGCAAGGTTGATACAGACCAGTTTTTTTTTCTTTTTTCTTTCNTTTTTTTTTTTTTTTTTTGGGTCCGTCTCCGAGTGCTGAGTGCCTTTGTTCAACCAGCTGATTCAACTCCTGCTTACTTAAATTAGCAAATCTCTTGGGTGGAGGCCCGGCAAAAAACTTAAGCCCGAAATTTGGTAGCTCAAAGAAATGATATTCCCCACCTCCGGAAGAATGATTAGATCTTTCAATATTTTTTTGTCTGTTAGAATTTTTGTAAAGTATTTTCGTCGTAAGCTGCTCCAGTTTGAGTGAACTAAGACATTGTCAAATTTAGGTATACACCTTATTCCAAAATGGCAGCCAGTTTATTATTCTTTTGTTTACATGGTAATTAGCC